AACCAACTCCTACTAGTGGGTCGGCATTGTGGTCGTAGACCCACTTCTACTGGAAGGTAACTCACCTCAATGTCGTGAAGTGTCTGAACTGTCCTCGCTGTCGGGATCAACTCCTCTCAATCCCTACACAACAACCATTCTAAAATACCATTTCATACTCATAACCCTTACAAGGGTCAACTCAAGTCCAAGTCAAAGTCAAGGTCAAAACCCTGGTCAAAGTCAACTTTGGTCAAAGTCAACATCTTGTTGACTAGACTCGCCGAGTTGGTCCATCAACTCGTTGAGTCCCCACATCCACAAAACGCTACAACCCCGTCCCTACTTGTCGAGTCTATCAAGAGCTCAACGAGTTCGCCTTCAACAAAATATCGGGACCTTCTTCAACTGACTCGCCGAGTTCATCCTTGAACTTGTCGAGTTCATCTTCATCCGCATGAAGGTGTTTAGTCTATGACTCGCCGAGTTCTCCTTGAACTCGTCGAGTCCGTCTTCATGTGGTTGGGACATTGCCTTGAACTCGTCGAGTCCTTCGATCTTCAAGTCCATAACAAATGACAACAGGATGAGTTTTCCTTCAACTCAACCAAAGACCATTTCCAGAAGACGTTTGAGGGAAACTGTGACCCGACTCGCCGAGTCCCTCTTTGTCCAAAACTATGCAGTCGATTTCAGTGGGTCTTAATGCATCCAAATCATAGATCTGACCTCCTAGGGTCCATTTATGTAAAGCTACGAACTTGATGTCCATGCATGGGGTTTTTGGCTCAAAAAAGATAAAATGGGGTTTATAAGATGCATGGGCTTCCCATGGCCATAAAGTTGGCACCTTTATGCCATGGGAACCCTCAATGGTTCCAGATCCGAAGTGTAACTCCATGAACCATGATACACACCCAATCCCGAATATGGCCTTACAAAGCTTAGAAAAGGGTATAAATGAGCCCTAACTAGAGATCTAATAGTTAGATGGTCAAGGTTTCAGCTTTATACCTCAAGTGAGCTAGAAATGGGGCACAACCTTTGGATCTACTAACTTCCACTCGAACTTCCAAGCTCCTTATTCCTTCTCAAGCTTCACAATCACCACAAACACATAAAAATGGCTCAGGAACACTCAAACGAGGTTAGGTTTTCGATTTAGGGTTTCTCTGAGTTGGGAGGGACGATGGAGGTTGGGTTGAGACAAGATAAGTTGTTTAAATAGGGTGCAAACCCTAAATATTAGGGTTTCATCCAGACAGTCCTACTCGCCGAGTCGGGCTCTCGACTCGTCGAGTAGGTTACTTAAAACCCGCGTCCAAAGTCTTGTCTACTGGACGAGTTGGGCCTCCAACTCGCCGAGTCCCAGTGTAAAAACATAAAATCTTTAAATTTAAAAATACGTACCGGGAACCGGGCGTTACAGGTTGGACTCATACAAGAGCTGTGCAACAAGACCAAATCCCTTAACCTAAGGCCATTTAACTCATGCAGTATGTGACTTAGCGCATTCACTCAATAGTTAGATCACACACGAAAGAGTCATACAACAATCAATAAGGCATTCTACAATAGATAAGGCATCATATAATCAGGCAATTCTATCATGCGGATTTCTGAAGATCCCTAGCCTATCACCAACATGCTGTTCTAACATATCACAACATAATCTCAAATAACTGTGTGGTAATTTGGGGTCTAATTACTGGCTCCGTCATTTCATAAAACAAGGACCATTTATGAAGTTTTTTCTATTTAAAAAAAAGATAAAGGAAATTATAATTATTTAATATATAAAGGGTGCCATCTCTCTCTCTCCCTCTCTCTCTCTCTCTCTGTGAAACAGCAACACCACCACTAATAGATGGCTGTTACGACTCGTCGGACGTCATCATCTTCAACTGCAGCCTCGGTATGGGAAAATTGGGCATTTTGGGTCGCCGTGGATGTATATTTGCCGGAATATGGTAACCTCTTATGGTGGAATCTTCTGTTGAGATTCTTTGAATCACTGGAGCTGTGAGGTGAAGATGTAGTGATTCCTTCACGATTGCTTGAAGATAAGGAAGGTTTGGTATGTTTGATTCTCCTAATATTCTATCTTGTCCCATATCTTTCTTGATTTCTTCAACAACTTTTTTTTATTATGTGGGGATGGTTTACGAGTTCTGCTAAAGCCCACTCGGTAGTAATGGCAGAAGTGTGTTCCTGCACTAATTATATCCTGAAATTAAACACATATATGTTAGTAGATGCAAATATAGATATAACAAAGGTTGAAATATGATCTGCTGATGTTAATTACCATAATGAAGGCTTTAATGTTGTCTATGCTCAACTTTATCTCCATGCTATCATCTTATGAGATGTCGAGTAAAGGTCAAGCAAGTCCCTGACTTCTGCCTTCTTGTAATTTTGCTTTCTTGCCTCTTCACGCTTCTCCATGATATTTTCTATCATCTCATCAAATCTTCCACAAATTTCCTTTGACCTTTTTCCAATTCCTTGTACATCTATATATTATTAAGGAACCATATATGATCTGAAAGGTTAAATGTAAACATGAGTTCGCCTATGTCGGTAACTATGTTTTTTATGTTTCCTGCATCGTCATCTTCGTCTGAACACCTCTTGCTCATAAGCATTCGTGATATAATACTGTTCACCATCTTTATAAGCTCCCCTTCAAGTTCTACCGACTTCCCAACTCTGGCTTTCTCTGATAAAAATCTTAAAAAACGATTGATTTCTTCGTTTCTGACTGGATAGAGGGAATTGAGCGTTTTAGCATTGAGGAGTTCTGAGATGACGATCTTCTTTAAGAACTTCTAGTAGGGTCCGTAAGTAGCAAAAAAATGACTGGACGTAAGTAGCAATATAATCCATGGATGAGTTATAGAGTCTATCTACAAAGACAGTATCATACGTTTTAAACAATTATTTCCATGTTCTCGATCTAAGGGTGGTTGCCCTTTCAGTCAAACATTGTTTTTCTATGCGATGATTTCATATCTGTGAGAGAGAGAGAGAGAGAGAGAGAGAGAGAGACCATTTATGTATTAAATAATTATAATTTCTTTTAACTTTTTTTTAAATAACAAAAACTTCATAAATGGTCATTGTTTTGTGAGATGACGGAAATGCCTTTCTATTAACAATCAAAAGATGACGGTGTTAGCTAAAATGATCATTTGTTAAAATTTTTGAAACCACAGCGACCATCTATGTGGTTTTTTTAAACTTAAAGACTAAACTTTAGATTTTATGAAACCACTTCTGTATATATTAAAAAAGGGGGTATTATTTCAAAATTTGATTCAAAAAGACTAAACTGCACAAATGGTCCCTGTGGTTTGCTCAAAATTGCCACTTTGGTCTAAAAAAGTTTTGACTAGCACCACAGGTCCAAAGTTTTCATTTTGTTGCGATTTTAGTCCAATTTGATTTAGAAATATTTAAAATGACGGATTTACCCTTTTTACTTTCTTTTTCTATTTTTATTTATTTATTTAAATGTTTTTTCTGATTAAAAGAAAAATAAAAAATAATCTATCTATCTATCTCTCTCTCTCTCTCTCTCTATTTTCGTTCCAGTCAAGTACAACAGCTCCAAACATCCTCGACCCTTACTCCTTCCTCCCCTCATCGCTCACGCGTCGACCTCGTCGGAAGAAATAAACAGAAGCAGCATGAGTCGTCAGAACGAGCACCACCGACTGCCACCGTAGTTCTCAGACCACTCCGCCCTCCCCCTGTCGTGACCTAAAATCAAAATCAATCTTGAAACATTAACCAGATTGAATCATCTATCAGAAAATACATCAAATGAACTGGTTCAACAAAGATCAGAGAGATATACAGGAGCAAATCAACTAGATGAAAGAGGGAGGGCATGGATTCCACAACCATCACTTAATCTGAATCAATTTCTGATGTGAACCCTAAACCTAAAATCGATTTTTGTAGATGTAGGGATGATCTCACAAAAAACGGATCTCTCCATCGTAACAATCAAGACGAATTCCACAACAATCGCTAAATCTGGAGGGTAGGAAACTGTAATTCGTCGACCACCGCCTTCGCCTCTACCGAGAAATCCAAAAATCGACATCAAGCCACATTCAACGAATGCTCCTCCACATTCAGCGAATGCTCCTCCAGAACAATCGCTAAATCTGATGTGAACCCTAAACCTAAAATCAATTTTTGTAGATTGACGGTGAATGCTCCTCCATTACCGGAATCACCGAAGCTTGGATTTGAAGTTGTCGATATGCCACCAGTGGTGCTCGTCGATTCTCTGGAGGTTCGAGATCCAAATAGTATGTCGACCCAATCACTTTGGGGTTTTTCTTCACGATGGATGGTCAGGTGACCGTGCCTCTCGGTGGTCACCACAGGAACACCACCCTTGGTGGTGTTTGTACTCGACGATGAATGGAGAGGAAAGGTAGCAGGCGGTGGTGGTTCTTGGTTTGAATAAGGAGGAAGATGGAGGAGGTCGGGAAACGGTGCTATTGGCTGGTGAGATACGAACGAGAGGGAGGGATGTTTTGAGAGAAAGAGAGAGAGAGAGAGAGAGAGAGAGAGATTAGTTTTTATTTTTCTTTTAAACTGAAAAAACATTTAAATAAATAAAAAAATAGAAAAAGAAAGTACAAAGGGTAAATCCTGTCATTTTAAATATTTCTAAATCAAATTGGACTAAAATCGCAACAAAATGAAAACTTTGGACTTGTGGTGCTAGTCAAAATTTTTTTGGACCAAAATGACAATTTTGAGCAAACCACAGGGAACATTTATACAGTTTAGTCGTTCAAAAACTATCTTAAACCTTTTCTACCGGATCACATAGTTAGTTCTTGCCTAAAAAAATTGGTGTTTCGAATAAATCGTGTTGGATTTTTTTATCCGGCCCGTGCTTTGGTAATATTTGGGTTTCTAAAACGGCCCGACCCATTTACAAGCCCAGTAAACCAAATAGGTTTACAAGTGATATAAGCCGATCAACTAGGGTTTACCGGCAGAGTTGAAGGAGAGAGTGGCGCAGTAAGTGCAGAGGACCGCCGCAGTTTCGCCGTACATCTATACCGGAGATTCCTATCTCCTACACCACACGCCGCAGCCATGGTGCAATTTCTTTCCATCTTATTGAAATTTTATCCATTAGTAATTCATAGAAGTTTGATAGCTGCTCGCGATGTTCGATTTATTTGATATCAGTTTTTCTTCTACGTTTCTCTCCATTAAAATTTTTGCGATGGTCATCACGCTACATCACTCACGTTTTACTGTTTTTATCCATTGAACTGTTTACCCTGAAACACCTCAAATAACTCGATATCTACTTAGGATTTTAAAGGAATCAGTCGAATCCAGTGTCTGTAGTTTCGATCTCGTTTAAATTAGCAGTATAAATACACAAATGCACTTTCCAACATATATATTGCTGGTTCATTTGTTTTGTAAAGCCCGCATCAGTCGAAATGAGGCTATAATTTTCGCAATATGTTCGTGATTTTGTTTATTTATGTAGCAAAACGATATTCATAGTGCTATTTTTCAATCGTATCATGTTTAATTGTGTTTTTTTCTCTATTGAAGGCTCGAGGATTGAAGAAACACATGAAGAGGCTCAATGCCCCAAAGCATTGGATGCTTGATAAACTTGGTGGCGCTTTTGTAAGTCCATTCAAGACCACTTCTTATATTTCATTCTTTTCTGTCTTCTTTTCTCTCTTGATTGATAACATATTATTTTGATTTTCTGCAACTCAGGCTCCTAAGCCATCATCAGGACCTCACAAATCAAGGGAATGTCTCCCCTTGATCCTCATCCTGAGGAACAGGTTGAAGTATGCTTTGACATATCGTGAGGTCCAATCCATTCTCATGCAACGCCATGTTCTTGTTGACAACAAGGTCAGAACTGACAAGACTTACCCTGCTGGTTTCATGGGTAAGTATATATACTCATCAAAGTTACACAAAATGTCCATATTACCCTCTAGTAGCTTCAACAATTCATCAATTTCACTCTTTGTTTTCTCATCAGATGTCGTCTCAATTCCCAAGACCAATGAAAACTTCCGTCTTCTATATGACACCAAGGGTAGATTCAGACTCCACTCAGTCAGAGATGAGGAATCAAAGGTTAGTTCAAATTAATATATAATAATATAATACAATCATATTTTCAAACACTTTAAAATAATTAATTAAACATTTTTTTTTGTTGTAGTTCAAATTGTGCAAGGTTAGATCAGTTCAATTTGGGTCAAAAGGCATTCCATACATCAACACATATGATGGGCGAACAATTCGCTACCCGGACCCACTCATCAAAGCCAATGACACAATCAAGCTTGACTTGGACACCAACAAGATTGTGGATTTCATCAAATTTGATGTTGGCAATGTTGTCATGGTGACAGGTGGCAGGAACACAGGGCGAGTTGGAATTTTGAAGAACAGGGAAAAACATAAGGGAAGTTTTGAGACTGTTCATATCCAGGATTCCACGGGTCATGAGTTTGCGACCCGTTTGGGGAATGTGTTTACTCTTGGAAAGGGGACAAAGCCGTGGGTGTCGCTGCCCAAGGGCAAGGGGATTAAGCTGACTATTATTGAGGAGGCTAGGAAGAGGCAGGCTGCCCAAGCTGCCCAAGTTGCTTGATTTTTGTGTTGTTGGTGGTTGGTTTTGTTGAGACTTATGTGGTAGTTGTTGGATTTTAGAGGTGGTTATGTTTTGATTTTGGTACACAAATTTGGATGTTTGGGTTTTGCTTGTTGGGTTAATTTGATTACAAAAAGACTTTTATGCTTTTTGAATCTTTTGTTGCATAAAACTAACCTTTTTTATGTCTCAATTGGAACAAAAAACTTTTGAGACCGAAGAAACTTCTTTAATATCCTTTTTGATTTTCATTATCTTTTTAGGGTGAAAAAGTTCATGAAAAATCTCTAAAAACCCTTTATTGTGATTAGTCAGTGCTTTAAAAAAAAAATAGCTATTGATGTATACGATGAAAACATTTGGTTAATGTTAGCCAAAGGCGTTTCATGATGCACCTCTAGCCACTTCTCTAGGAATACAAATAAAAGATTGTAAAGTTAAACACACAAATATCACTTGTAGCTTGGAATTGTTGTAGTAATGTGATAAACACAGATCCAAGGTTAGATTTTGATTGTTCTCATTTAATTGTTTTTGTTGCTATGTTTTGTTTTATGAATTCAAATAACCGTCATGACCCAACAGTAAAGATCTTCCTTGATCATTGTATTTTGACTGAATAAGAGGATACATGCAAACGAGAGTTGGTGTGTGCCGGGTTCTCACATAGTGGCCTCGATTAGGAAATTTATTGATGTTGAAAGGCTGGTAGTGGCATGGGGAGATATGACTTGGAATTAGATTGGTTCTCATCAAACTTAATATTTTGGTTTGGAGGATTACTAGAGTTAAATTAAAGGATTATGTCACTATTGGGTAAGAGTATTTTGATATGTTTTATTATGTCCTTTAACTAATTTTCTTGTTTTATGTGGGAACAATGTAGGTGCTATCAGATTTAAAAGACCACTTTGACGAATATGAAAGAGTAAACCGGTTATCTTTTTGTTGTGTCATTTGACTTTCAAAAGTCCACGTTTTCCTTACCCACGTGTATAATTCCACATCACTCAGATTTCTTCCTAGACCAACAACTCCACCATCGCCGTCGACAATGGTGTTTATATCACTCAAATTTCTCCTATGAACATTTTTTTTTGAAATAAAGTCGGTGGAGCTCCATTGGAAATGTCGACGTCCTAAATCCATTTCCGACCTATTGAAAAAAATGAGTAGTTAAAACTTGAGGATCAGAGCTCAAATTCGAAACACTCGTCTTGGTTTGCATCCCCAAATCATGTTGGTGATTTTAGTGTCACATGACATTTTATATAATTGGAACTGACATGTGAGCTAAGAAGTTTATTGTGTGTACTCTATATTAAATGTTCGGTGAATGCGGAGTGCATGCATACATAAGATCGAATTCTATTATGGTAAGATTGACAAATCTTGTTAGTTTTAGAAACCATTGATTAAGCCTCTAACTTCGAGATTTCCCTAACTAATTTAGAAGATTAAACCCTAATCTGTCATGCATATATACAACTCCTCTTTTGAGCTGTAGATAGAACCTCCTTCCCAACTCTTCTTATTCGTAAACAAACTCAAAACTCTCTGACGATTTGGCTTGTGTTTATGTGCTTAGATACACAAGTGTCCTTTTGGATTATCATAGACTGAATTTTCTGTAACTCAGACATAGAGTGGAAATATCAGTTCGAAAAGTAAACTTACACGATCCATAAGGAATCCAGTTCTCCACCATAACCCTACGTTCTAGTCTCCAACACATCAAACATTTTATCCAACAGATTGTTTGAAATTAGGTTCAAAATTGAAGAATTTAAGGGTTTCAGAGGTAAAAATACCTGATCTAGGTCGAAGTTTTAAAAAGTAGATGTCAGTGACCAACACATAATAGTTGGTGATGTGGGTTTGGAGATGAAGGGATTCAAAGTTGGTCTTGACGTAATTGGCTACGATGGATGAGGGTGAGGTACCGGCGAGTTGGGGGTGATAGAGGAGGTGTTTGGTGGCTAGAGAGAGAGAGAGAGAGAGAGAGAGAGAGAGATATGAGGGTGCATGAAGGGGAGGCTGAACATGTGAAAATCATGGTTGATTTTGGAAGACTAGTGTAAAAAGATCGAGCCATCAAAACTGTGGGCGTAGAGAAAGAGGTGGCAAACGATGGTGGTGGAAACGACGGAGGATATAGAAATCGATTAAAGGATTTCAGAGGATGAAGCATGTGTGCAATATCACAATGCATCCATAGGGTGTTGCAGAAAATGTACGTGAAGAATCTAAATTTTTGTCGCGGTGACCAGTCCTTCTTGTGGGGCGCCATTCTTCATTTGCATAAATGACTTATAGTGTCCACATCATCAACCGGTTAAAACATAGCAACACAAATTTATTATAGTGAGTAAAGGGACTAACTTAACATCCTAACAGGTAAACATCTACTAAGTGGAGTACAAAAAATAATAATTAAGTGAATTTTTAAAAATAAACGAGAAAAATTTATAGGGCTAAATTAATATTTTCCCTTAAATTATATGAAAAAGGTGTCGATTTGGACACTCGTGTGTGTCCTATTTGTGATTCTCATCTTGAATCAAATGAACATCTTTTTATGTTCTCTCATCCTCTTCCATATGGAATAGTGTAGGGCTTTCATGAGGCTTCTAGTGGGTTATTTTGCGATTGGCTTTGTTGGGTGCATCAATCGGGGTTTAGTGATGTTCAAAGAAACATTTTTGATGGAGTTATTCAACATTTTGGGTTATATGGAGTAACCGAAACCAACATATGAATTAAAGAACCACAAATTCACATTGCAAGACAAACAAATGCAAAGATACTGTTATAAATTAAGATCTTGTTATAGGAGCCCTTCTGCTGCTTATGATGAAAAGTAGATTTATGAGTATAGTAGTAGGTGAGTGTGTAAGTTGTAAAAAATAATTGCCTTTTAGAAATCTATTGAAGTATAGTATAGTTTTTAATTGCAAAACTAGAAATTGATTTGAATATATTGTTATAATTAGATAAAATTTTCCAATACAATAAGAAGAAATGAAAGAACGATTCAGTAATAACAATTATCTTTACTCCTTTCATCCATAGACCATAATACATGCAAATCTTCATAAAAAACATAATTCAAACTAACTACTTGACAATTTATACAATCTTCAGTTATTCATTTTTTCTTCACGCATGGAATATATATGTGATTTACTTTTGTTTGGTGCCACCAACTATCCAGAGCTCAAACAAAGCTTTACCTTTATTTCGACTTTTTGTTGTTTTTTTCTTTTAAAAAAAAACCTAAAAACTTAAATTCAAAGCTCATTCCAAACACACCTTTCATATGATTCCAACTCAGTTCCCCAAATTGCATACACTCTAAAAACATCTCCAAACCCACTTTATGTCCTACACCATTTAATATTAATTACATTTTACTTTATAAAATATGAATTGGTTTATTTTAAACATAATAATTATTCATTATAATATTATGTTCTTATATATTAAAATGATATTAATTAATCATAAATATAAAACTTAATATGAAGGTCAATAATTTATTTAACGTTTCTAACTTATATATTAAAAACTGCCATAAGTACTACAACCACAAATATTAACTATAAAACCACACAAAACAATCACCAAGTACAACTTATTATGCTAAAGGTACAATCAAACACCCTCCTCAAGAAGCATCTGATTGAAATGCCACACCCCTGCATATTCAATTAAATTAAATTTCATAACATTAATTAAAAGCCATAATTTTACATTCAAATACCAAATTAATACAATTAAGTATATATTAATATTACCATGGCCTTTTCCAACTCTTCTCAATTGAGACACATAGTCTGAAATCTTCTTTATTGCTTCAACCTATATCACAAAACAATTCTAATTAACACAATTTTCAAATATAAATAAATAAATAAATAAATATTTATGAAAATCTTCACCTGTTCTGCTAGAAATTCACTCTCAATAAAATCTGCCAGTTGTGGATCATTGTTTGTATCGGCCACCTTTTATTTCAAAGATTAAAAATAAGAATAAACAAATCAATGAAATTATATTGTTATTTTTTTTTGCATTTAATAATAAAGAAAAAGACTCTTGAATAATGAATAACATACCGAATGCAAAGAAAGAAGTTTTTCATTGACTAGTTTCTCCAAGGACAATGCTAACTCCATTGCTAATCAAGATCAAAAGAATAAAATCAAAATATATGGATTAAATATATGTTTAACAAGTGTTAATTAATTAATTGAGTTTAATATTTGGTTAATTAATTACCATATAAAGCGTCTCCCTTTTCTTCATGCTCAAACTCTGAAGGTGGCCCAACTATGGTATGCAACTTTACTCTTCCACCACGCATATTCTACACATGTAAAAAAGATTTTAAGAAAAATGTGAAAAAGATGACATGAAAATGTGTGTGTGTGTGAGAATAACCTGATATTTCATTAGCTTTTCTGCGTGTTCTCTTTCTTCATCACTTGATTCCTTGAAGAATCTAGAGAGAAATGAATCAAAGTTTATAAGTGTGTAAAGATTTGTATGAAAAGATTAATGGGGATTTGAGTTTATGTACTTGGCAAATCCTTTCATGGCTACATTGTCTCGATCAAAGTATGCATACAGAGCATGGTAGACGTAGGAGACATTGTATTCAACACTGCAGCATTAAGAAGTAAAGAGTTAGTCAACTAGAAGTGGATAGAAGAAGTTCAAATAATAGTTGAAGTAAATCAAGAACAATAAGCTTGGATTTGCCATGAGTTTAGGTTCTTTGTGATTTGTATAGATGATTGTTGATTGCTTCTGTAACAACAAAAACTATGCAAGTTTTGTGTTTTAAATCTTTTGATTCGTTATAGGGAATCATTTTCTTTTCCATTTGGTTGGATTTTGATGGAAATAATAAGCACTACCTACCATTTATGATTTAATGTCATGAAAATTAAATGATTATAAACATTATCATGCTCCTTTCATCCTTTCATCCATAATATCTGTAGATCCTCATCAGAAACATAACTTAGATCAAGTATTTGACCATTAATACCTTTGTAACATTGATCCTAGTTAATTAATCATCATTTTCATTCAGTTATTCGATTTTTCCTCAAACATTAAATGTGTATGACTTGTAGTCACCAATGAAGCATAACATTCAATAACAATCGTCACAAAAGGTATGAAGAATTTCACTTTACGCACAGAATCATAGATATAAGCAGATGTGGACCAAACGACACGATTATACAACCAGACAGCGAAGAACAACGAGAAAAAAACACAAATTAACGAATATAATTATAAAACTTACTTGATTTGCTCGTTGATGGCAGCTTCACAATCATCGAAATAATTTTGACGTGCAAGTGAGGTCTGAGGAGATATCGGGACTAAGAGCTCCTCCTTCTTCACTTCTTCAAACGGCTGAAACAGCACCCCACTACTCAACACCGGACTCTTTTCCTCCACCATCGAAGCACAATGAACGGCTCCTCTTCTTACCTTCGACATCAAGCTCAAAACAGAGGATGGCGACGATGAAAAACACGGAATTTTCACAGAGCCAATCGTGTTTTTGGGCACCGAATCCAGATCTATATCTGGTTTCTTCAACAGAACCCTAGATGATGATGAAATGGCTGTATTCATCGACATTGTTGACGAATCAAAAGGTGAAAATGTGTGTGTTTTTGATGAGGTGAGAGACTGAAGCTGAAGGTTGAAATTTAAAAGGAGGAGCCAAGGGTTCACGAGAGAACAAATAGGATACGGGTTTTTATGAGCCGTTGAAAGGAGAGACACGTGGACGGTTGAGATTAAAGTGTAGGTACTGGCGTGTGGTGGCCTCACGCCTTATCTGTAATCTGGTGGAAGGTATGGAAAGATCAGCTCCATGTCATATTCGTAAGGAATCAAACCTAAATTTGTATGCTTTCACACCACTAATTTTATAAATATATTAAATCGATTGAAATATGTTATTAGATGTAATGTAATTTTTATATGAAGACGAATGTTTATTTGTTTGGTTTAACTATTTGTTGAAGATGAAACAACAATAAGAGCAAACTCTCGGAATTTTATTGGTATGAAGTAGAAAAGATAGATGTCGACAGTCATATGCCTCTAAAAAAAAACGACTGACTCATATTAACAACCTCTAGCATGTACCGATGAAAACCTGAAAAAGATGCAAACAACTATCACTTTAACTATTTGTTGTAGATGAAAGGAGATAAAAATGGAGAAGATAACCGAAAATAGTCATTTAGCATATAGATCTTTCTCAGTCAGGATTTCTTATTCGGATAGACTTTTCTCAGCCAGCACTTTCTCAGTCAGCAACTATCAAACGGGACCTTAATGATTCACGGACCTAACATACAATAAGCAAAGATTTAAGGACCATTTGTGCAACAAATCAATAATCAAGACCAAAACCATAACGTTTGACATGAAGAAAGTTGTAATTTACTCTTTCAATTATTAGAATAATAATAATTATTATTATTTGTCAGTTTTATGTAATAAAATAGATCTCTTATCAATTAATCATGTATTGATGTATATACTAGTAACTTTTTGGTGGCAATATGAAATATTACCTAGTTAAATTGGTAAAAAAAATCATTTTTTTTTACAAATAACTCATTAACCTTAAAACAAATACAATATATATTCAAAAGAATGTAGGAGATAACTGTATATATGTAAAAGATGTTTACAAAATGTTAAAGTAGGTCATACAACTTTTATTGGTACGAAATTAATTTTGTACTTGAAGAGTACACGTCTTTGAACTCTGATGCAATAAATTTGATTTTGAAATTGAAAGTTATTCATTTTTTTTTTTTTTTCAAAAAAACATAATTATAGTATCTATTAAAACCAATCGGGGAATAGTATACTTTTGTGGTTTCATATTTTAGCCACGAACTTATTTTTGGCCGCAAAACTTTCTTATATCGACTTATTTGGTTCCTATACTTTCGTATGTTGGCAATTTCCACCCTTTACTTTATAGAATGACATTATAAAATATCACTAGTACCCTCTCAAATTTGAACAATTACTAAATAAAAGAGTTACAAGCTAATCACAAATGACCTTTACATTACATATGGTCTTTATGCATTGAAAGTGGACAAAGAACGTTGTATTGCTAATCGTCAGGAGCCTATAGGTGTGGAATTGACGAAGGAAAATCATGGGAGATGTTGAAACTGAGCAGTTGGAAAATATGTTACTAATGTTGGACGGAATCAATACTTCCTTCGATTCAGATTTAAAAGGACGTGGGATCTATTAAAACCCATCCACCATAAAACCACATTCGGAGTGTCTACTTGATTTTACATCTCTCACATAATATATAATAAAGTTGCTCTAAAATGACTTATCTACATAATCTAATGAAACACAATATTTTCTTTATAAATTATTCTCTATCCACCATAAAACAAAAACCAAACAACCAAAAACTTAAATAAATCCACAACAAATTCAAAACCATATACACATACACATCATCCACCCACATTTTCCATAACTCAAAACCAACCAAAACACATCTCAAAACTTCTCAACCGTAATCCCATCACGATGAACCTCATAACCAGATCGAGTTCTAGTCTTCTTCAACCCGGCTGTGAAATGGAGTTTGGATCCTTCGGAAGCAATGCAAGTGACTTTGACCCAAATCATGACTTTTGTTTTGAGTCCTTCGATGTCTGTAAACTTTCCTTTCTCAAGGTAACCGGTCACGGTTGTTGAGAACCGCAACACGGATGAGTCACGGTATCCGACTTCACAGATGGCGGGGATGAAGACGGTTAGTTTTTTGGTTTGTTCGTCGAACTCGTAGTTTGTGGCGTCGCGTGGGAAGATGCCTACGGGTAGGTCGTGTTCTTTGAGGAGGTCGGTTAGTGGTTTTTGCATTTTTCCTGAAAGTGGTTGTTTGATGTTAGTGAAGGGTAGAATGGTCATTTAGAGTGAGAATGGTAAATGATTGTTTATTGTTCGGATGGTTAGAACGGTCATTTACTTACAGAAGGGCAAAATGGTTATTTACTTTCAAAAGGATAAATTGGTCATTTACTAAACAGTTATTAAATGTAAGGGCAAAATGGTCATCAATTGTCAGAAGGGTAAAATGGTCATTCACTGTCAAAAGGGAGAATGGTCCATTTAGTGTTGGAAGTGTAAAATGGTCATATGATGTCAGAATGGTAAAATGGTCATTACTGTCGGAACGGTAAAATGGTCATTTAATGTTAGAAGGGTAAAATGGTCATTTAATGTTAGAAGGGTAAAATGGTAATCCCTGGTTATAAAAGGGTAAAATGGCAATTTTAGTCGTCTAATGTTAGAAGAGTAAAATGGTAATTCCTGGTTATAAAAGGGTAAAATGGCCATTTTAGATTAACTTACTGCCAGAAGGGTAAAATAGTCATTTACTGTCAAAATGGTAAAATCAGCCGTTTACTCAATCGGTCAAAAAAAGAAACAACATTTTTCCAAAGATCACTTATTTAACTTGATGAAAAAAAAAGCTTAATAGAGAGTTTAAGAGAGTTTAATATGGTATATAAGATTCCTTTAAAGGGTATTCTGGACATTCATTTTAAAGGCTATTTGTTATGACGAGGGCATTTACGTCTTTTATGTCAAGATACAAACCTTTCATTTTGTTGACGAACCAGGTAGCTCCCCCTGAAATACTGCTTTGCAAGCTCTAAAACCAGAAAGAGAAGCAACAATCAAGTATTTACATTTACAGCCAAAAAAAATACCAATTTCTGATACAAAGTAAATAAATGTAAACAATAAAAACAGGTTAAAAAAAGATAATAAACTTGTAGTTAACCATTTTTTTTTTTCTAATTTTGGTGCAATTGTGAAAGAGATACTAACTTATTAGTTATTATACTTTCACACTTTTTTCAATTACATACTTTTACTCCCACAATCATATCAAAACATAATATTTTTCTAATTTTAAATAGATTACCTAACATAAATTGATGAAATAACAGTTGATTTGATTAAAAATTGGCAAATTTGCTACTCATTGTCCATCTTAGGTTTTGTTTCTTTTTTATTTAATAGGCTTAATGGGGCAAGAAGGTATATATGATTTAATGTATAAAGATCGACTTAATAGAAAAAGTCTTGGGAATTTTAATTTCAAGATCTAATTTTCTCTCAAAAGACAGAATTGCTATGGATTTCTCCTCAAACGCCATAAAGTCTGTCCTTTTTCCCAAAAATGCTACTTAAATCATCAGAGATCTATCTTTTAAGCGTGAGAAATCACAACCTATAATTATATTTATACACAATTATGCATCGCAGTCAACATCTAACAGCAACACCATGTTCGAAACGAAACTTTAACCTAAAGCCAACAAATTTGACCAATTGACAGATATCTTCAAACGTACTTCACATTTTGCACAGATCATATCATGAAATTGAAATTTAACTTTAGGATTAACGATTAAACAAAGAGATGAAGACTTACGTTGATGTCATCGCCGACGGAATTGAGTTCTTTGTTGGCTTTGTTACTGAACCAGTAGCTTCCGAACTTGCCAACAATCTGATCCATAACTTAGTTAATTTCTGAAGGAGAATTGGCTCTTATTGTATCTTGTGAGAGATGGATTGAAGCGGTGCCCTCTCTCAATATCCCGAATTTTCAGAGGGAGAGAGGAGAGAGGAGGTTGAATGGGTTGTTTATTCACAACTTCTTACACGTTCCTTTGTCAATTTCGAGTAAATTACTCGTTCAACCCTCGGGGTTTCGCTTTTTACATTGTTTAAATAAAATTTAGAGTAAATTAAATAAATGGCCCCTTTGATTTGGTCCAGGCTTTAGATTTCATCCATATAAATTTTTTTTTTCACTCACAAAGTCCCTATGGTTTGGTTTTATTTTGGTATTGGTCCAACATCAACTTAAAATAACAATTTTTCTTTAATGCTATATTTTAAATCTTTTTTTATTGTTGTATTATTATGAAACATTAGTTGGACTCATCCTAACACCCCACATCCTTCTTGTCCATCCACCCTCACCTTGAGTTCCACCATCTCACCTTTCATATTCGAAAGAATTTGAAACACAAAACAAATATCTAGGGCTTGGTATGTGATCGATTAATTATGTATTTGAAATCATATCCATTCGAGGTGAGGATTTGGCTTTGTAGTCAAGGGGTTGCAATATATTTTTTGGGGATTTTCGTAAGGAAGAAGACAGTGAACGAGCGGGGTGTACTTTTTTGGGTTTTATGATTCTGCTCTTTTTATAAGGAAAAAGGCAGTAGATTGTATAAGTGTTTCATGGATGTTTTAGCCAAAGGTGAGATGAGAGGGGACAGTAGGAGTGGAACATACTATGGCAAGTGTTTTACATTTTTGTTAGAGGTGATAAGTGTAGAGACAGTGGGAGCGGAAAAGTGTCACACCCAGCCCAGCCGTTGGCGGAAACAACAGACAATGCGGCGTAGGGATAATTGGATCTCGGCAACAGGTACAATCAAACACAAATGTATATTTTAAAATTTTATTTATTATTGATTTTTTGAAGGATTACATTGTTGTAGGAACATACACAAACTCCTAAAATTACTATACTAAACTTCAATAGCTTCCTTGCAATATTCCTTCATACTTGGGAGACACTCTTCCACACTCATCTTCCTAAGAATAGA